TGATGACTCATGTGTAACGCCTGTTGGTTCATGAGCGGCTCCCTCTCTGAGACAGAAAGAGAGAGAAGCAGACAGGAAGACAGGAAACAGACACACAGGCAAAGAGAAAGACAGATAAGCAGAGACAGAGCTAGACAGACAGACATGTTTATATGTAACAGTAAAAACAAATAAAGCCAAGGCAGTGCACTCCACTGCTGACAGTGCAGCAGTGGAGTGACACTTGTCTGACGCTGTGCTTCAAGGAGTTTCATATATACTCCAGCATGTCTAAAACATTGCTGGGACCTATAAATACTTTGTATATATGTCTAGCCCCTTAACTGTCCATACGTAGAGCTACGTTCACTCACCCAGCGCTCCGAATATTTTGAAAAAAAAAAAAAAAAAAAAAAGTTTTTTTTTTTAATTGAAGAGGACATTTTTTTTTACATAAAGTAATGTAAAAAAAATTCTAGTCAGTACTTACGGAGATATAAGGCTGCAAAGTTGGCAATTGTCGCTCACCAGATGGTAACATGAAGCGCTGCTGCTTATAGAAGTGTTTATATCTTTCTTCTCATTTTTTTTAATTTGTATAATTTTTGTTCTGATAATTATAATTTGTAGTAGTTCTTATAATTTCACAGTAAATCTTTGTTCTGACACTAATATTAGGTAATGAAATAGTACTTAAATAGTCACAAACACAGTGATAGGTGAACATTTTCACCTACTTTAGTCACATACAGGGCGGCCATTACTAATCCGGCATCATTGGGACCTGTAGTGTGCCGGATTAGTGAGTTTGCCGGATTACACAGTGGTTAGGTTAGAATCCACTTAATTAACCTATCATTAGAGACTCTTTCTGCTACATCTTCCTCATTTTCATCACTGCTTTCTCCTCCACTGGCTTACTGCTGTGGATTTACAACCATCTGCACAATATCTGAGTCAGTATAATGATGAAATTTGAAATTATGCTAGCCGAAATCAGTGCCGGATTACTGATGGAACTGGATAACTGACTGCCGGATTAGTGATGGCCGACTTGTACTATTGTCTAGAAATATATACATAGTATTTATAGGTCCCAACAATGTTTTGGATACATGGGAGTATAATAATAATAATAATAATAATAATAATAATAATAAGTTCCCTTGAAGAATGATGTAAGACGTGTATCACTTGCCTTATCTCATCACTCCACTGCTGACAGTGGTGACATTTGATGAGTGTTGTCTTATCACTCCTCTGCTGACAATGGTGACATCTGATGAGCATACACTGCCCTGCCTGTACTTGCTTTCACTGTTACACATAAACATGTCTGTCTAGTTCTTTGTATATCTGTCTGTCTAGCTCTCTGTCTGCCTGTTACTCTCTTTCTTTCTGTCTGCTTGTCTCTCTCATCTCAGAGTTGCTCATGAACCAATTGGTATTACACATGATCACTATATACAAGCATAGTATACCACTTTGGATTTTTTTTAGGTAATTTACACTGTATAATTGTATTTACATACGTGTTCCTGTGAGATAGAGATAGAGACAAAGAGATAGACAGAGATAACCAGAGATAGATACAGACAGACAGACAAAGATAGATACAGCCAATCAGCCAGCCAGCAGGTTAGCCAGCTGCCAGCCAGCCAGCCTGCCGAACAGTATTACACGTTCCAGAATTGTTTCCTTTTACTTAGGACATAGGTTATAGGACATTTTGGCAGGATGACACTACTAGTAGTACCAGAATTGAAACGGTGTTGCACAAATGTTGCACATGGATTATTATCGAGGTTTTTGATATTCCATGACCACTTTTGGCCACATCCACCTCAAAGCCACTAAACTTTGAGTCAACATCTCTTTCCTCTTAAAAGAGGAGTATTAATATGACATGACATCAGTGAATCCTTGGTGTTTGCCGCGCTGTTTGCTCTAGCAAGCACTCGATTGAACTGGTGCTCCCACAAGGTACTAAGTGTTACCATATTAGTTTTTTTTAACACTGTGCACACCGAGGGTTAACACCCATTCTATGCTGACCAGGCATCTTATGCCAATCGTGAAAAATTTGGAGGCAGGAAAAATGAAATGTAGATCTACGTTTGGAGCACTAGCGGTAAGAATGTAGATCTACGTTTGGACAGTTAAGGAGCTAGACAATCGTATGTGACCAAGGCAGGTGAAAATGTTCACCTGTCAGTGTGTTTGTGACTATTTGAGTACTATTTCAGTATCTAATATCAGTGTCAGAACAAACATTAGCCATGAAATCACAAGAACTGCTACAAATTGTAATTATAAGAACATAAAAATTATATAAATAAGAAAAAACAAGAAAAATAGGTATACAGGTCCACATCCCTTTATCCTAAATTCTGAAATTCAAAAAGTTCTGAAAACTGAAGTTTTTTCATGGAGTGTGGAGCGTGAGTCATCTCCGTGCTGGGTCACACCGCCATGTGGCAGCGCTAAGGATGATTCTGAAATTCAAAACAATACAGGCCCTGAGGGTTTTGGATAAAGGCATGTGCACCTGTATAGGCAACACTTCTGGAAGTGGCAAGACTCCATTATGCTGTCAGGTGAACATACAGTGCCAACATCATGGTCTTATATCTCGGTAAGTACTGACACTAAATTTTTTTTTGGTCTCATTACAAACAGAAAATTGCCCACTTTAATTTAAAAAAAAAAATATTCAGAGCACTGGGTGAGAGAACGTAGATCTACGATTGGACAGTTAAGGAGTTAAGCTTTAAAAATTGTAGTTTTTACATCTGCAGTTCTTACAAAACAAACAGGAACTGTCCACTCATGCAAAAAATGCACATGTACACAATATTAATGCATTTAGTAAAAACTATCAAAGAAAACTAATATTTATATTTTAATTTTAAGAATTTCATAATTATTAAGAATACATTTATTACCAATCTCTACCAAACAAATACTATAAAAGCCCTCACAACATGTTCCATTTATGTAAAGTATGAATGTATTTAATAAAAAAAAAATGAGAAAAAATTACTGAAAATAGTTTGTTTCAATATTTGTAATTACCATATTGCAGATCAGTGGTTTGTAAGGGCTTGAACTGTTTTTAAATGTGACCCAACTGTAACTGTGGATGCTCGTAACTTGGATAACTAAGTCTTGGGCCTGGTGGCCTGGTGGTTAACGCTCTCGCTTCACACGGTGAGGGCCTGGGTTCGATTCCCAGCCAGAGTAGAAACATTGGACGTGTTTCTTTCCACCTGTTGTCTATGTTCCCCATCATTAAAATGGGTACCTGGGTGTTAGTCGACTGGTGTGGGTCGCATCCTGGGACACTGACCTAAGGAGGCCTGGTCACAGACCGGGCCGCGGGGGCGTTGACCCCCGGAACTCTCTCCAGATAAACTCCAGATAAACTGTACATCTTCTTAATAATTTCTCATAAAATTATTAATACCGAGTTAAATATGCTTATGCTAACAGAAAGAAAAATGACAATTTAAGTGTTTGATGTTAAAATATAAAACTGGATACCGCACATGTATACTTCAAGTAATAAGCTTCATTAATCCAGTTTTCAAACTTATCTGACTTAAGAAATCGTAATGACACGATTGCAAATAAACCATACCCCCGGCCGGGATTGAACCCGCGGTCATAGAGTCTCAAAACTCCAGCCCGTCGCGCTAGCCACTAGACCAGCTAGCCACAATAAGATTCATCCAACTAGGTATATTTCTACACCATAGGAAAGTTAGCACAGGCACCTCTGTGACCACAAATGCAAGTTTTTTACAGACGAATCTCCAGCTAGCGTGGCCGTGACGAACTCTAGCTCAAGTCCCTTCACTGCCGTCAACATGACTTAAGAAATCGTAATGACACGATTGCAAATAAACCATACCCCCGGCCGGGATTGAACCCGCGGTCATAGAGTCTCAAAACTCCAGCCCGTCGCGCTAGCCACTAGACCAGCTAGCCACAATAAGATTCATCCAACTAGGTATATTTCTACACCATAGGAAAGTTAGCACAGGCACCTCTGTGACCACAAATGCAAGTTTTTACAGACGAATCTCCAGCTAGCGTGGCCGTGACGAACTCTAGCTCAAGTCCCTTCACTGCCGTCAACATGACTTAAGAAATCGTAATGACACGATTGCAAATAAACCATACCCCCGGCCGGGATTGAACCCGCGGTCATAGAGTCTCAAAACTCCAGCCCGTCGCGCTAGCCACTAGACCAGCTAGCCACAATAAGATTCATCCAACTAGGTATATTTCTACACCATAGGAAAGTTAGCACAGGCACCTCTGTGACCACAAATGCAAGTTTTTACAGACGAATCTCCAGCTAGCGTGGCCGTGACGAACTCTAGCTCAAGTCCCTTCACTGCCGTCAACATGACTTAAGAAATCGTAATGACACGATTGCAAATAAACCATACCCCCGGCCGGGATCGAACCCGCGGTCATAGAGTCTCAAAACTCCAGCCCGTCGCGCTAGCCACTAGACCAGCTAGCCACAATAAGATTCATCCAACTAGGTATATTTCTACACCATAGGAAAGTTAGCACAGGCACCTCTGTGACCACAAATGCAAGTTTTTACAGACGAATCTCCAGCTAGCGTGGCCGTGACGAACTCTAGCTCAAGTCCCTTCACTGGCTAGCGCGACGGGCTGGAGTTTTGAGACTCTATGACCGCGGGTTCAATCCCGGCCGGGGGTATGGTTTATTTGCAATCGTGTCATTACGATTTCTTAAGTCATGTTGACGGCAGTGAAGGGACTTGAGCTAGAGTTCGTCACGGCCACGCTAGCTGGAGATTCGTCTGTAAAAAACTTGCATTTGTGGTCACAGAGGTGCCTGTGCTAACTTTCCTATGGTGTAGAAATATACCTAGTTGGATGAATCTTATTGTGGCTAGCTGGTCTAGTGGCTAGCGCGACGGGCTGGAGTTTTGAGACTCTATGACCGCGGGTTCAATCCCGGCCGGGGGTATGGTTTTCAAACTTATGCACGAAAATATGTTTATTCACTGCAAATATTTTAATCTCTTGAAAGTGTGAAATACAATACTTGTACTGTAATAAAATATAAAACTAATTCAAACATATTAGTATTAATAAGGTATTGGCACACAAACAAAGCACAAGTTGGTACATACTTTACCCGTAGAGCAGTCATGAATAAAAATTTCTGTATTGTGAATTATGCATTAAGTTACAAGTCATTCCAAAATAAATGAATCAGTTACAGTGACTAGAGATTATGAATGTGACTTAATTCTTGAGATCACTTTTAATATTTTCTTCCCTTTCTTCCATGCCAAAAAGCTGTTTTATGAGAGAGATGGCCCTCTTGCATCCAGAGTGAGCCTCGTGTGACACCAATGACAGACTCAGAAATCCATGGGGGAGACGACTCATAATATCAATAGTAACTGGTACACCCAAGGACTTTAATGTCTTGGCCATGGTAACATCATCATCCAAGCAGAAGTCATATTCAACAGTCTGAAATAAGGTAGATAAATGCTTTAATAATGTGTTGCACTTCTAATAAAACTATAATAATGTGTTGCACTTCTAATAAAACTATAATAATGTGTTGCTCTTCTAATAAAATTAAGAGGCATTCACAAAACACACTGAATAAATTTTTAGGGAGGTACTCACTCAGGAATGGAAACTAATGTGGGGAATACCCTGTATTACAACATTACCAAATTACATGCTTCATTATCTCAGCTATTTTTATATGTATGTAAACTAGTCTGCATGAACTGTAACAGTTAATTATTCAATCCCTTTTAATAAGCTGCTTCCACTCAACCTTGGTAACTAATATCCTGATCAATTTTCGAATTCATACAATTTTCTCAATCACTAAATCTCAAATTCAAGGTTTTCCTTTCCTCATGGTACCCTCAAAGTAACTTGAATATATTTTAGCTGTCACTGTTATTTATTCATTCAAAATCACCATACCATCTGAAGAACACTACACATAAAAATGTCCTTCAACATTCTCATTTGGTAATTTATTATGTTCTATAAATTTTGATTTATTATGTAAATGCTGAATTGTGCTCATACATTTCTATCCTCTTCAACATTCTAGCCACGTATAAAACAGGGAATACTAAACATCTATTCTAGTAAGACATTAATTCAGGTTAACAAACTCACAAGAATGGCAGATGCAGGGAATTTTGCCAGAATTTCTTTGGGAGCAGTGAGAGGACTCAAATAATGGTCACTTATAATTTCCACTCCGCTAAACTCTTCCATCAGGCTACATCTACTGTTCTTCCGTGATGGTGACCTGCCCATTAGGATCTGACCTAGAGAAGGCCTGGAAATTATGAAGTTTTAGTAATTAGTAACAGCAAAGTTCAGATTCATTTGTATCTCGCATATTAGCTTTGCCACCCTGAGTGACAAATTTCCCAGATATATTGTGTCCCATTGCTTGACTACTTTTTAAATGAAGCCATTTTTTTTTTTAACATGTTGACCATCTCCCAGTGAGGCAGGGTGACCCAAAAAAGAAACCCTTTTACCATCATTCAATACTTTCACCATTATTCACACATAATCACTGTCTTTGCAGAAGCACCCAGATATGACAGTTTAGATGTCACTCCATCCCAAGCCCCTCCTTTAACCCCTTAATAGTCCAAATGTAGATCTACATTCACTCGCCCAGCACTCCGAATATTTTGAAAAAAAAAAAAAAAAAAAAAATATTTTTAACCCTATCAGGGTTGAGAGGCTCTCTCCTAAACTTGTTCTCAGAGTTGAACATTTTTTGGAATTTTTTTTTTTATTTTTTCTTATGAAAAGACAGAGAATCTTTTCCTGATCATAAAGACACCAAAAGTGTGAAATTTGATGGAAAACTTATGGAATTATGCTCTCGTGAAGTTAGAAGTCTCAACGATGTTTACGCATTGGCGATTTCGTCGACTTTGAGCTCTATTTTCGGCCAATTCCAGTGTACTAGTCAACAAAAATCATAACTATTTCGCTAGAGCTCCATTTTTTCTATCGAATGAGTACAAGAAACCACCCATTTCTCAATTTCAATTATGTATTCAATAAAGTGGTCAAAAATTAGCAATTTTGCCAATTTCACACAAATTTCAAAAGATGCCAATTTCCAAATAGGGTCCAGAATAAACAAGACAGACATTCCTGACACTAAAATAACATTTCCTCTGTTCATTAGTCACGTCCCCAGGCCCCTCTTACATTTCTTTTGCTTTCCACTTGGAATTTTTATTCTCACAAAAAATAGAAGATTTACTGTCATGCAGACTATTGCATTAGTGTAGAAATGATATAAATAATATCAGTGCACTTGTGAAAGAATATTAGTCTCACCAGTTGATGTGCATTGGATGCCTGGCATGATTTGTTTACTTTTGAACTTGGGCAAAAATCGAACATTTCTGCTACTTTGAGCTCAATTTCAAGGTACTTTTCATTGTGAAACCAATCAAAATCATCTCAATTTCTATAATGTCTTCCATTCTATAAAATGAGACCAGGAAAACTAGAATACAACCATAAATACCATACGAAAATACAGTGCAAAGTCGCTGTTTTAATCCAAATACAAGGTCAAAGTTTTTTTTTTCTCATTATGCACTGTGTGCTGCAGGATTATTTTTATACTGTGCACACTGACCACATAGACCCATTCTTTCATATGTAGGCCTACCAGCTTTCTCTAGATTTGTAGGTGCTAGAATTTAGGCGTACTAGTACGTCGATAACCCTGGTGAGTAAGCCGTACTAGTACGTCGGAAACCTTGAAAGGGTTAAATGAAGACGGCATTATTCTACACGTTATAAGATAAAAAAAATTTAGGATCAGTATTTACCAAGATATAAGCCTGCGAAGTTGGCGCTGGATGCTCACCTGACAGCAACATGGAGTCCTGCCACTTGTAGAAGTGTTGTCAGTATACTTTTCTCATTTTTATATTATTTTATACAATTTTTATGTTCTGATAATTACAGTTTATAGTAGTTCTTGTGATTTCATAGTCACTCTTTGTTCTGAGACTAATATTAGGTACTGAAATTGTACTCAAATAGTCACAAAGACATTGACAGGTGAACATTTTCACCTACCTTGGTCATTTACAATTGTCTAAAAATATATACAAAGTATTTATAGGTCCCAGCAACGTTTCAGACATGCTGGAGTATATATGAAACTCCTTGAAGCATGGTGTAAGACTTAGTGTCACTAAACTGCTGACAGTGCAGCAGAGGTTTGACACTTGATGATCGTGCATTGCTGCAAGGAACCCCTGGCTTTGTTTGTTTTCACTATTACACATAAACATGTCTGTCTGTCTAGCACTGTCTACTTATCTGTCTTTCTGTCTGCCTGTGTGGGTCTTTCTGTCTGCCTGTGTGTGTCTGTCTTTCTGTCTGCTTGTGTGTGTCTGTCTTTCTGTCTGCTTGTCTCTCTGTCCCAGAGAGCAGCTCATAAACCAACAGTTATTACACATGATGTAGTCACGTCTGATTCCTGATCAAGTGAACATGCGTATTACTTGCCAGTCATGCTTATTATGCCTTATATCTATAAGCACAGTGTATAGCACTGGATTTTTTGGATTATCCTAGGTAATTTACAGTATGTATGATAACAAAAAAAAGGCACAATACTGTGACTGGAACAATACACAAATAACCCACACAAAGAAGAGAGGAGCTTACGACGACGTTTCGGTCTGACTTGGATCATTTACAAAGTCACACTAACGAAAAGGAGAGCAGGATGGGTATACATAGGCAAGAGGTGGTAGTAGTAGTAGTAGTGGTAGTAGTGAAGGGAAGGAAGTAATAGTGGGGAGGTAGTAAGAGCAGGAGGGGCCAGTCAAATACTAAGAAAGAGGAGCACTGCAAGGGAGCTAGGTGCCCACAGAAGGAACGAGCAAGAACACCGAGGGGGAAAAAATAAATGAATAAATAAAGAAGGAACAAATACACAGGGCAGAAGAAAGACAACCCAAAGGAGAAAAAGAAAAGAGGAAAGGGGAAGAGGGAGAAGAAGAAAAAAGGAAGAATCAGGTTAGGTCACGAGTGTTCTGAAGTTTGGAGCATTTTACAATATAGTGGGAGAGGAAGGCATCTACAGAGACGAAGCCAGGACTAAGATTCATACAAGGAAAGTTGTGTATTAGGGAGGATTCAACCAGACGGTGACTGTTAAAATTGGAAGTAGGGAAGACAGTTTTAGCAGAAGACCAGTCAATAGGATGGCTGTGATCTCTGACGTGACAGAAAAGAGCATTGTTAGTGTCGGCAAGCCTAACACTATTTTTGTGCTCCCTAAGTCTGTCAGAAAGAGATCTACCAGTTTCTCCAAAGTATTGAAGAGGACAGGAGGAACAAGAAATAGAGTAGACACTAGGAGCATCTGTAGAGGGAGGAAAGGTATGAACGAGATTAGTGCGAAGAGTGTTAGTCTGGCGGAAAGTAAGTTTGATGTCTAAGGAACAGAGAGAGTTGTTGAGATTAGAAAGACTGGAAATGTAGGGAAGGCAGAGGACAGAAGAGTTCCCAGGAGTGGAGTAGAGAGTTTGGGAGAGAAGAAACTACATTTAGCACGTGAGCAGGCAGAGTCAATGAAATGGGAAGGGTAGCCAAGACAGGAAAATGAATTATGAAGAGTGGAAATTTCAGATTGAAGGAACTGAGGGTCACATATGCAAAGAGCACAGAGAAAAAGGGAGATAAGAACACTTTTCTTGACAAAGGAAGCATGATAAGAAAAGTAGTGAATGTACATGCCACTGTGCATAGGCTTGCGGTAAACAGAAAAGGCAAAACCTGTATCTGAACGGTAGACATGAACATCAAGAAAAGGAAGCAAGGAGTTAGATTCCCATTCAGCTTTAAACTTAATGGAAGGGGCAAGATTAATAAGAGCATCAAGAAATGGTTGGAAGAGACAAGAGACAAGTGTTCTTGCTCTTTCCCTCTGTGGGCACCTAGCTCCCTTGCAGTACTCCTCTTTCTTAGTATTTGACTGGCCCCTCCTACTCTTACTACCTCCCCACTACTACTTCCTTCCCTCCACTACTACCACCACTACTATTGCCACCACTACCACCTCCTGCCTATATATACCCATCCTGCTCTCCGTTTCATTAGTGAGACTTTGTAAATGGTCCAAGTCGGACCAAAACGTAGTCGTAAGCTCCTCTCTTCTATGTGCGGGTTGTATACTATGTATGATAACTGTACTTACGTGTACCTGTGAGAGAGAGAGACAGAGTCAGACAGAGATAGAGACAGACAGATACAGATGGAGAGACAGCCAAAGTCAGTCAGCTAGCCAGCCAGCTAGCCTGACGAATACATATTATACGTTCCAGAATCATTTCTCTTTACTTAGGGCATAGGTTACAGGACATTCTGGCAGGATGACACCACCAATGGTATCAAAAATGAAAGGATATTGCAGAAATGTTGCACATGGGTTATTATCAAGGTTTTTGATATTTCCTTGCCACTTATGGCCACATCCATCTCAAAGCCAATAAACTCTGGGTCAACATCACTTTCCTCTTAAAAAAAGAGTGTGTTACTATGGCATGACATCAGTAAATCCCTGGTGTTTGCCATGCTATTTGCTCTATCTGGCACTCAATTGAGCTGGTGCTCCCAAAAGTTACTAAGTGGTCCCAGATTTTTTTAATACCACACACACCAAGTGTTAAGACCCATTCTATACTGACCAAGCATCTTGGGCCAATTGTCCCAAATTTGGAGGCAGGAAAAATGAAATGTTGATCTACATTTGGAGTGCCAGCGGTACTAACGTAGATCTACATTTGGACAGTTAAGGGGTTAAAGTACAGGTATTGTACTTCTCACCTCCAGGACTCAAGTCCAGCTAACAGGTTTCCCTGAATGCCTTCACAAAATATTACCCTGCTCATACTCCAACAGCTCGTCAGGTCCCAAAAACCATTCATTCCTTGTTTATGGAAGAAACAAATGTTTGCAGAAAATATTCAATATATATCAGAAACTTGTTCTTCTTTTCTTGAGAATTCACCCTGAGTTCCTATTTTTTCACATGCTAGAACTGAAGCAATTTTTCAATCTTTTCACATATCGTTTTTCACAGTTAAGTTTTTAAGAGCTAAAGTGAAAGATTTCAAAATGGAAGTGCTCTCTGTACTCTCCTGAAATGGTGTAGCCCCATACAGTAAGTAAAGTTAAACACTAGAGCTATACTAAATGTAGCTTACATCATGGAAAATGGCCTGAAATGAGTACAAAGACTTAACTATTAAAAATTTAATAATTATCAAAAATGCACTTTCAGGAGTGGGATGTATACAAGGTATGATCATTCCCTATAAAATAGCCACTGCTACTTCTAAGTACCAACTTTAATACCATAGTTGTTACATCCACAATAGTTGCTGTCAGGACCATCCACAACTGCCAGTGCTGTTGTCAGTATCATTTGTCATACTTAGTCACATTCATGTCATATCCACCTGTCACAGACACTACTGTTTATCACTGCTTAATACTCTTTATATGTCGTACTGAAAACACCCCTTCATTAATTATACTGGACTTTTGCCAAATATTTTCATTGAATTTTTATTACATTATGTAACCTGCCAAATCTCTGCTCAACCAACTGACCTCTAGTCTCCTCTACTTTCTGCTCAATGACCTCTTGTGTTTACTCCACTCACCAGCTTTTTATGTCCACTCTCCTCTCAATGACCTCTTATACCCACTCTCCATTCACTTATCATTCATGTCACTCTCCATTCACTGATGTTTCATGTCACTCTCCATTCACTGATGTTTCATGTCACTCTCCATTTACTGACCTCTTAACAACTGCAGGTGGTGGCTTCACAGGAGATGTTGGTGATGAGGCACTTTCCTTTCTTCTGAGCCCAAAAGATGTCAAACCTGCTGAGATGCCACTAACTACTGCATCTTTGGCTCGGCCAAGCCTGGCAGAGATTCCAGCACCCACACTAGGAGCCTCAAACAGAACATTTTCATCTTCTTGTTCGCTCTCTTCACTGCCAGTTCGAAGTATAGGAACTCTTCGACCCTTATAGAACAAATAAGACAAATGTAAATTACTCAGATGATGTAAGTGATGCTTTATTATCAGAGGCATCAATAGACAGTCAAGTATAAAGTTTACGAATACGTAATTACAAATGAAACATTTCTGTAATGAATTAGAAGAGACACCAGTAAGTATACAGGCAGGCTCCACTTTACAGTGTTTCGCTAATACAGCAGTTTTCGTTTATACCCTTAGGAACGAATGGATATGTCAGTTGAAAACAAAGTAGGGGAGTTAGTAGATGGGGAGACAGAGGTATTGGGTAGATACACAAATAACCCGCATATAGATGGGTAGATGGCAAGAATATTTTGAGGAACTTTTAAATGTCAACGAAGAAAGGGAGGCGGTAATTTCATGCACTGGCCAGGGAGGTATACCATCTTTTAGGAGTGAAGAAGAGCAGGATGTGAGTGTGGGGAAGGTGCGTGAGGCATTATGTAGAATGAAAGGGGGTAAAACAGCTGGAACTGACGGGATCATGACAGAAATGTTAAAAGCAGGGGGGATATAGTGTTGGAGTGGTTGGTATTTTTGTTCAATAAATGAATGAAAGAGGGGAAGGTACCTAGGGATTGGCAGAGAGCATGTATAGTCCCTTTATATAAAGAGAAGGGGGACAAAAGAGATTGTAAAAATTATAGAGGAATAAGTTTACTGAAAGAATTAGAGGTAAGACATAATGCAGGATTGTGGATGAGCAAGGAGGTTTTAGAGTGGGTAGGGGATGTGTAGATCAAGTGTTTACCTTGAAGAATATATGTGAACAGTATTTAGATAAAGGTAGGGAAGTTTTTACTGCATTTATGGATTTAGAAAAGGCATATGATAGAGTGGATAGAGGAGCAATGTGGCAGATGTTATAAGTATATGGAATAGATGGTAAGTTACTAAATGCTAAGTTTTTATGAAGATAGTGAGGCTCAGGTTAGGTTGTGTAGAAGAGCAGGAGACTACTTCCTGGTAAAAGTAGGTCTTAGACAGGGATACGTTCACTCGCGTAGCGCCCCAAATTTTTTGAGGAAAAAAAAAAATCTTTTCTTTTAAAAGGAAAAAAGAGCATATGGTACCCAGGCATCCCCAATTATTTTAATATGGAACACAGTGAGTGCACACACCCATTCTCTCATGTCTAGGTGACTCAGGCTTATTGTGGCAATGTTGAATGAATGACAAAGAAAACGTATATATATGTTTGGGGCGCTACGCGCGTGAACGTATATATACGTTTGGACCGTTTAAGGGTTAATATATTTATAGATGGGGTTGTAAAAGAAGTAAATGCTATGGTGTTCGGGAGAGGGGTGGGATTAAATTATGGGGAATCAAATACAAAATGGGAATTGGCACAGTTACTTTTTGCTGATGATACTGTGCTTATGGGAGATTCTAAAGAAAAATTGCAAAGGTTAGTAGACGAGTTTGGGAGTGTGTGTAAAGGTAGAAAGTTGAAAGTGAACATAGAAAAGAGAAAGGTGATGAGGGTATCAAATGATTTAGATAAAGAAAAATTGGATATCAAATTGGGAAAGAGGAGTATGGAAGAAGTGAATGTTTTCAGATATTTGGGAGTTGACATGTCAGTAGATGGATTTATGAAGGATGACGTTAATCATAGAATTGATGAAGGAAAAAAGGTGAGTGGTGCATTGAGGTATATGTGGAGACAAAAAATGTTATCTATGGAGGCAAAGAAGGGAATGTATGAAAGTATAGTAGTACCAGCACTCTTATATGGGTGTGAAGCTTGGGTTGCAAATGCTGCAGCGAGGAGGCGGTTGGAGGCAGTGAAGATGTTCTGTCTAAGGGCAATGTGTGGTGTGAATATTATGCAGAAAATTTGGAGTGTGGAAATTAGGAGGTGTGGAGTTAATAAAAGTATTAGTCAGAGGGCTGAAGAGGGGTTGTTGAGGTGGTTTGGTCATTTAGAGAGAATGGATCAAAGTAGAATGACATGGAGAGTGCATAAATCTGTAGGGGAAGGAAGGCAGGTTAGAGGTGGTTCTCAAAAAGGTTGGAGGGTGGGGCTAAAGGAGGTTTTGTGAGCGAAGGGCTTGGACTTCCAGCAAGCATGCCTGAGCGTGTTAGATAGGAGTGTATTTTCCTATAGTACTTATGGTTGTATTCTCGTTTTCTTGGTCTCATTTGATAGAATGGAAAACATACTACAGAAATAGAGATGATTTTGATTAGTTTCACGATGAAAAAACCTTGAAATTGAGCTCAAAGTAGTGGAAATGTTCAATTTTTACCAATGTTCAAGAGTAAGAAAATCACACCACACGTCCAATACATGTCAACTGGGGAGTCTAATATTCTTTCACTAGTGCACTGATATTATTTATACCATTTTTACAATAATGCAGTAGTCTGCATAACAGTAAATCTACTTTTTGTTTGAATAAAAAATGAAAATAGAAAGCAAGAGGGGCCTGGAGATGTGACTAATGAATAGAGGATATGTTATTTTAGTGCCAAGAATGTCTGCATTGTTTATTCTGGACCCTATTTTGAAATTGGCATCTTTTTTAATTTGTGTGAAATTGGCCAAATTGCCAATTTCTGACCACGTTACTGGGTAGTTGAAAACGGTAAATGGGCAGTTTCTTGTACTCATTTGATAGAAAAAGCGAGATCTAAAGAAATAGCTATGAGTTTGGTCGACTGGAACAATAGAATTGGCTGAAAATAGGGCTCAACGTCGGCAAAATCGCCAATGCGTACATATTGCCGAGATCGCCAACTTTGCAGCAGTGTAATTCCATAAGTTTTTGACCAAATTTCGTAATTTTGATGTCATTACCACCGGGAAAAGATTCTCTATCATTTCGTAAGATTTTTTTTTCCATAAATTTTTCGACACCAGGAGACACTTCAGGATCTGGGGTTGTGACAGTCAAAGGGTTAATGGGTTAACTTGCTTAATATACAAAGTGTCCACACTTATATTCCCTACTACACACACAGAACATTATACTCAGATATTAACCCTCCTCTCAAACTCCTCCTTGACAACTACAACAGAACACACAGGCATAACACAGGGCACAAATCACTGTTCGATATCCCTCAAACCAATCAAAATCATATCTATTTCTGTAGTATATCTTCCAATCTATCAAATGAGAAAAAAAGAGAATACAACCATAGAAACCAAACGAAAATATACCACTAAGGGGAAGCTAATGGCTGAGAAGTGAACTCCGTTATTTATTGTCTGATTTCTTTCATTTTTGGCGTACGTTAAGAAGCATCTTTCCATCATACATTGCCCAAGTTTCAATAAGATAGTACAACAAACAACTGAGATCCAGTTCCCTAGATCAAGAGCAAGAGCCCCTCACCAGTGTCAAGGAATCTCCCTTGAGACCCGTTTGCATTTGAAAATTTCACTTGCCTCTGGAAGCAAAAAATTGACCAAGTGACTGCTCGTATCTGGAAAAACTTGCACATGGATGCACTCGTAAGTAGAGGTTCCACTGTACTGTGCTTGTAGATATAATACATAGTAAGCATGACTGGCAAGTAATACATATTTACACCTGCTGGTTCACGAGTGGCTCTCTCTGAGACAGAAAGACAAGCAGAGAGACAGAAAAACAGATGAGCAGAGACTGATAAACAGAGAGCTAGACAGACAGACAGAGCCAGCCAACCTGCCTGCCAAACATGTATTGCACTCTCTAGAATAGTTTCTCTTTACTTAGGGCATAGATTATAAGACATTCTGGCAGGATGACACTACCAGTGGTACCAAAATTAAAAGGGTGTTGCACAAATGTTGCACATGGGTTATTATCGAAGTTTTTGATATTTCCTCGAACACTTGTGGCCACATCCACCTCAAAGCCACTAAACTCAAGGTCAACATCACTTTCTTCATAAAATGGGAGTGTTAATACTACATGACATCAGTGAGTCCCAGGTATTTGCCACAGTGTTTGCACTAGCTCGCACTCAATTGAGCTGGTGCTTCCACGAGGTACTAAGTGGTCCCAGAATTTTTTAATACTGTGTACACCGAGTGTTAAGACCAATTCTGTGCTAACCAGGCATCTCAGGCCAATCATGCCAAATTTGGAGGAAGGAAAAATAAAACACAGACCTACGTTTGGAGTGCTAGTGGTAAGAATGTAGATCTACATTTAGACAGTTAAGGAGTTAAATTGTGCTAAGCTGTCATCCTGTATTTTTTATATACTATATCAAAACTATAATTCTTCTCTACCTAACTTATTAAAGCCATATAGAGTGAACTAATAGAATATTCAATTTTCTTGTAATCATTGTAACTCACCAAATGACCATATTTACAATTACAACACTGTTATTGCCTTATTAATCTTAAGTGAGTCTTAAGTTTGAACATCCCAAGGAGCTTTTGGCATGTTCACCCAACTATTACACTCCTTTGTACAAACATGTATCAGGCTAAAAAAAAAATTATTATTATTATTATTATTATTATTATTATTATGATTATTATTATTATTACACATCCTAACCTGAGCCTCACTATCCTCATAAAAACTCTTTACAGCATTTAGTAACTTACTACCTATTCCATACACTTGCAACATCTACCACACTGCTCCTCTATCCACTCCATCATATGCCTTTTCTAAATCCATAAATGGAATGAAAACTTCCCTACCTTTATCTAAATATTGCTCACCTATATGCTTCAATGTAAACACCTGATCTACACATCCCATACCCATTCTAAAACCTCCTTGCTCATCTGCAATCCTGCTCTCTGTCTTACCTCTAATTCTTTCAATAATAACCCTACCATACACTTTACCTGGTATACTCAGTAAGCTTATTCCCCTATAATTTTTACAATCTCTTTTGCCCCCCTTCCCTTTATATAAAGGAATTATACATGATCTCTGTCAATCCCTAGGTACCTTCCCCTCTTTCATATATTTATTAAACAAAAATACCAACCATTCCAACACTACATCTCCCACTGCTTT